AAGATTTTGTGTCAAAACATAGAACTTTCAGAATTTTCACCATAAAATGCTGTGCAACATTAATAGAAAATATCAGCAGACTTTTATACAATCCTTCAACAACACTTAAGCATTAAATGTTACAGTAGTATTTTGTAACTGCACCCTCTGAGTGTCAGAGAACTGTTGTAAAGTTCAAACAAAATCATGCACGCTCACTTTTCAGAAAAGAACCAAATTAGGGCATATAACCTGCAATGTTACATGTTCATTCACCCACCTGGTGCAGACTCACTTTGTTCCCTTCCATCTCTTTTCCCAACTTCAAGGCCACTGTGTGGAAGATCACCTGCAGAAAGTGAGGATAAATATTTATCAAATAAGCCAGTATCATCACTAGCAAACATATTTATTTATTATCTGCCAACCATTTTTAAGCTTCAACATCTCCCTCCTAGCTCCTTCCTGTGCATCCCACAGGCAAACGTCTGGGAGGTTGCCTAAGATGTTACTTGTGAGAAGGATTTTGAAGCTTTGAATTGATGGCACATAACGGTTTGCAAATTTTAAAAGACACAATTCTACTTATGTCACAAAATTGTTACAATAATGTGTATGCAGTAAAAAAATTTGTGAAAGTATTAACTTTTGTAAATAATATGAATTCTTTAGACCTGTATCATAATCCCAGCAAATATTGCTTATTGTTGAAGGATTTTACAAACATTATACAAAACTTACCAGTTCCTGTGAAAACCTCCTTCCTTTGTGTTTGTTCTTTATCATTTGAACTGCATGGAGCCTTTTCTAGAAATAACGAAAATGAATAAAGCCACTTGAAATTAATTTTAAATTTTAGGATACCATACTTCCTCCAATAAGTGCCCATGGGGGTTCGAAGGAGAAATTACCAGAAGGATGGCGCTTAATGGGACGAATTAAAAACAACAGATAAGACACATAACGCTTTAACCCCTGAGAGTGACTAGCATCTAATTTCTCCTTACCATATCATCCCCAAAATCACATAAAGGTCACAAGAACAAATGAAATTATCACCATCAATTGAAGCTCTAGATTATAAAACAAATTCTCCTTGTCATCCCTTTGGAAATGTATTGAGAACAATATGGAGAACATGTCAGCTGATGTTGGAGTGTAACAAGGTAAGGGAATCTGCAATCACATGGAGATAGGAATAACTGAATGGAAAAGAAACTATTCTCCTGCACTGATTGAAGTTTAAAAAGTTATAAATGAAGTGGGAATAGAAACAGGTTGTCATTGTACACCTACTATTTTCAAAGTGAGGAAGGAGGGGGGGAGCAGTTTTTGGAAGAGTTGCTTGTTTGAAATTATGGTCTAGGTGGTGCATACTTATTTGGGGGAGGGCACTTATTAGAACATGGGCACTTATTCAAGGAAATATGGTCAGTCATCTTGGGAAAAAATATCTTAAATGAGTAATCTCGCTCTTGATTATTTTTTCAAAAATAATTGAAAGGGCATCAATAAATAGCAACCTTCAGTCACCAAAAACAAGAATTAGAGACAGTTCCTGATCATCTAATAGCTAGGCACAGGAAAGTAAAACAATTGTTTCCTTTACAAGGGAATAAATCTTTCTTGTGGAAGTCAGTAGCTATAATTCTCACAGTGCAAATATTCTTTGAAATTAAAATTGACTTAGAAATTTTGGTTATAGTTACTAAAGCAAACCTGTGAATACAGTCTCCTTAGGAGTGGGACTGGGAGCCAACTGCAGAATCATCTTCATAAACTTTTCACATTCCTCCTTCCAGTGGTACCTCTTCCCATAATTCCCTCTCAGATGCAGGGCAGAGGCATACCTCTCATCTGGTGTTTGCTGTGATAGCTCTTGGATTTTTTTTGCCCATTCCTCTGGTGAAGCTGAGGGGATGACCACAGCCATCCCACCATCCACAGTTTGAAGGGCTTTGGCTATACCACATTCCCTGGAGACCAGTACAGGCACACCAGCTGATATGGCCTCTAGGGCCACCAGCCCGAAGCCCTCAGTGCGGGATGGCATCACAACTACATCCGCTTGACGAAACATCTCTCTCATTTCTTCGTAATTACAAAAGCCTCTGATGGTTAGTTGACTCCGTGTTATTTTTGTTTCCTCCAGGAACCATTTTTCGATCTTCCGTTGTTGATCTTGTGGTGCACCAACAAAAGTGAGCTCAAATTTTCTTTCTAGTGAAGCCACAGCCTTACCAATTATATCATATCCTTTCAGTTCAAAGTCCTCAAAGCTTCCACGACCAAACATGAAGATGTGAAACTCATCTTCTCCTGATGATTCAAATTTACTTGATTTCCTTGCTGCTAGATTGACATACTTTTGGAAAATCCCCGGAGTAATGACTTCTATTTCAAAATCTGGCAGACTTCTTTGATATTTACCTTGTAGTAGGGAGCCTACTGCGACAACTGAGTCAGATGCTTTGCACAGCTCCAGTTCTCGTCTGTTCTTCTCTTCGTTATCTGCAATTGCATCAGCTGTAATGCTGCATTCCAGCTTGTATTTTCCAAGATCCTCACAAAACACATGTACAAAGTGTATCCACTTACAGCCTGTTATTTGTCGAATGGAATAGGCCGCACCACCAAACTTTCTACCGTGGCCAACAATGATGTCAGGATTGGGAAGCTCTGATGGCGGATGTCGAATCCATTCAAGTGGATCACTAGATCCAGGAGGGCGCTGTGCTTTGATTAAGTGGATTCCATTGCTGCTTGCATCTTGTCGTTCTTCTTCTGTACTTTGGCAAACAAAGCAGTGAACCCTGATTCTTTCTTTTGAATACTTTGCTAGATTCAAAGCAAGTTCCCTGTTAAACGTTGATAATCCACCTTTTGAGGAGCCCCACTCGCTACAGATGAACATGACATCAACACACTGATCTACAATTACTTCTGCGCTACAAGATGCTTTGCCCTTGAGGTCTTCACTTTTCCCTTTATCTTTCACAGAATTTGCATTGGGTGCATTCAAGGATCCTCTTTCCATCTCAAAGCTTTTCACTACAACAACAAAACAAGAATTGTATTGAAAATAAGCTGTAAAACAATAATGAATCATAATAAGGCATGTCCACTTGATATGTAATGTCAACTCTTTTGTAAACTTTCAGTTAAGTTTTATCCTTTTCCAAAAAGTCAGGTACATGTAGATTGAGACAAATTTGGACCAGGAAATATTAAGTTGCTTTAGAGATGACTACACTGTCACTGTCACTGATAACAACCATTACAGTTACAGCTGTACAAAGGAATTAAATTTGTAAGTAAAAGTTATCCTTAAAGGGTCTTCCTTTTCAACTCACTTTGAAATTGGTATACATGTAGTCTCACTGAGGAAATTTAGGAAAAAAGAAAACAAGGGGGCTGATGAATGTCTTTGTCAAAATCAAAGCTTGGTATTTGTAATAGATTTAGATTTCTCTTCCTACCTTTTGTAGCATTGACATCACAGGAAGCTTTAATTTTGAAAAATCACCCAGGGAAAAAACAATACAGAATGTGAGTTCACTGAGTCCAATTAGGCTTTCTATTTCCACTTAGAGTGTTGTTGAGACCACCACTTGGAGGTTAATTTGACCTTTTTGGGAGGCTTTCATTTCCTCATATATTTAAGATCACTGTTTAAACCCAGGTAAAATGTCAGGTGGGATATAGGCGGGATCCCGGCAATCCCACCCAGGATCCCAGGTGGGAATGGCGGGATCCCGCCTTAGGTGGTGGGATCCCACCTTTCCCACCTGGGATGAAAATTTGACCCCACCTGGGATCCCGCATTTAATGCGGGATTCCTGCATCCCACCTGGGATCTTAGGTGGGACTTATGCATTCT